GGTTCTGGGAGTGCCTGACACACAGCAGGTGCCTAGAAAATATTGTTGAAATGGCTTGAAAAACAGACATGTAGCTCTGCCTCTGGTGACCACTAGAGAGAGCTGAAAGGCAGGAATAAAGGGACTTTGGAAGCACAGCCTCCTTAATAAAGCCAGAAGTAGGGCATCTAATCCCTTTCCTAGTGCTTTGGTGGTCTCCCCTCCACTTAAGCTTATTAGAATTTTGGATCCTGGGGACCAGCAGTTGGCATAATGGCTATGTTGCTGGGCTCCCATGTAGTCGACCACAGTTCGAGTCCTGGACCCGGTAGCTTAAAACTCACGCTGGGCACGTGTGCTCACATGTGTGCCCAGGATCCTAAGAGGAGAGTGGAGAAGGGATTGCAGTGTGGCCATCCCCCCTGGGGGGTGATTTCTCGCTTTCTGTCTCTCTCTGTCTTTCTGGCAAGGGCATGTGCCCTATAGCAAAAACTTCTCCAAAATAAAAAATAAATAAATAAGGAAAGAATTTCCAATCCTGCTTCAAGGTTCTTGTTCTAAACAGCACCAGCCCTACATGTAAAACCTGTCAGGTGGCCTGCTCTGATACTGTGGAGATGTGGTAGGGAGCTGATGGCTGCCTTTGCAGACCTTAAATAAAAACCCTGAAGGAGAACAGATGCTCACAAAAATTATGGGATTCCATAGCTTTGAAATCTAATAATCTTGAGTGATCAAACAGACTGGGCCCTTGCGGTTGCTGGGGCAAGGATGGAGGGGGCAGCAGACCTTGGGTGGGAGAGCCTAGGGCTTGGCAACAGGACAGAGTAATTAGCCTCAGTGGGAGGAGATGAGGAGGCTGGCACCTGAGAGTGTCTGAACTGAGTCTGGAGAAATGAAAACAGCCAGGAGCTGGGTGGTAAACCACTATCCTGTCTTGCCCAGTGTATGGCCATAGGGAGAAGGACTTTCCCTGTACTTTTTAGGTAGCTGGAGCGGAAGGGCAACAGATTGAACCAGGTCTCCAAGGCCAAAGCTACGTGAAGGTCTCAAGAGCCTGGGAATGAAAATATCAAAAGTGGGTGCCAGGCAGGGATGAGACTAATTGTGAAGAGATGCAATACATTGAAAGTCAGATTTGGATCAGCTTTCATTTTGCTCAGAGTTGGTCCTACTGGCACCCTTTTAGAAATGGACTTCCTCATAGTTGTTGAATGCAGTGGGCAAGTCATTTTCCCCTTCTAGGGCTGGTTTCCTCATATGTTAAAAAGGGGGAGGGGTGGACTATAAATCAGTAACCTGAGTTCAAGTCTCAGCTTGCTCTGTCATCAGTGAACTGTGTAACCTTGTGGCAATCCCTCTTAATCTCTAAGCCTCCGTTTCCCCTACTTAAATTCAGTACAGAATATGTACAAGAGAGACTGTAAGGTTACTCCCAGTTTTGTTATTCCCGTAGGTCTCCTTCATCACTCTCAATTCCAGTCTCTATAACTTCTGGGCTGTGTAACCCAGCTACACCAGTCTCAGGTTCCCAATCAATAATGTAAAGGAGCAGGAAGGAGAATTGGACTAGACTATTGCTAAAGTCCTTGCCAATTTTCAGCATAATACATTTGTTGTTGGTGGCCTTGCTAGGGCCTCCATTCTGGCTCAGCTAATAACCATTCTCTGATTTTATAAAGTAATCACTTTTCCAGCTCAGATCTCCCTAAAATATTCAATCTCAAAGTCTACCCAGCTCCAAACACCCATATAGCTCCTTTTCCAATTTCCATTCTCACAGAGAGCATAGAACCTTGCAGACAGTTCTAAAGCCAAACTTCCTGCTGTTAACTAGGTTAAGAGTATTCCACTCATGGGGCTGGCAGGTGGCATGGTGGTTGAAATCACTGGATTCCCATGTGGCCAACTGCAGTTCGAGTCCCGGACCTGGTGGCTTGCTTTCTCGCTTTCCCTTTCTCTCTTTCTCTGGTCAAATAAAAAAATAATAATGATACTAAATGGAATTAAATAAATTTTTTTAAAAAAGCATATTCCACCCTTGCAGGCAACAACATACCAAAACCAAATTTTTAAATCTGTTTATTTTGTTCCAAACCCCTTGAGGATTTAAAGGTCCCAGGTTTCAAGCTCCGAAATTTTGTTCATTTCTAGATTTAACTGTGGTGCCTAAGAGGCTACATTCTACTCTAAATATTAATACTGTGCTGCTTTTGCCAACCCACATTCTCTCCAAAGGCACACAAGCCCACACATGCACATGTGTGGAAGAAATAAATTGACATCTTGCCATGTTATGTGACACCGGAATGAGTAGATTTGGAACCTGTGACTGTCTTTCTTTCATCTGGAGAGAAGTGGGTGGCAGCTTCATTCTTAGAGCTATTCCCCCTATAAGCAACAAAGAAGGCCCTGAAGAACCATCTTCCACTGACTCAGTGGAGATGGGGCAGGGAGGAGTGGAAGTAGGGTCATTGTTGCTCCAGTTTTTTCAGTAGTTTCTCCTGGAAATTACCAGGCTGATGGGCACCAAGAGTGTCTGAACTGAGTCTGGAGAAATGAAAACAGCCAGGAGCTGGGTGGTAAACCACTATCCTGTCTTGCCCAGTGTATGGCCATAGGGAGAAGGACTTTCCCTGTACTTTTTAGGTAGCTGGAGCGGAAGGGCAACAGATTGAACCAGGTCTCCAAGGCCAAAGCTACGTGAAGGTCTCAAGAGCCTGGGAATGAAAATATCAAAAGTGGGTGCCAGGCAGGGATGAGACTAATTGTGAAGAGATGCAATACATTGAAAGTCAGATTTGGATCAGCTTTCATTTTGCTCAGAGTTGGTCCTACTGGCACCCTTTTAGAAATGGACTTCCTCATAGTTGTTGAATGCAGTGGGCAAGTCATTTTCCCCTTCTAGGGCTGGTTTCCTCATATGTTAAAAAGGGGGAGGGGTGGACTATAAATCAGTAACCTGAGTTCAAGTCTCAGCTTGCTCTGTCATCAGTGAACTGTGTAACCTTGTGGCAATCCCTCTTAATCTCTAAGCCTCCGTTTCCCCTACTTAAATTCAGTACAGAATATGTACAAGAGAGACTGTAAGGTTACTCCCAGTTTTGTTATTCCCGTAGGTCTCCTTCATCACTCTCAATTCCAGTCTCTATAACTTCTGGGCTGTGTAACCCAGCTACACCAGTCTCAGGTTCCCAATCAATAATGTAAAGGAGCAGGAAGGAGAATTGGACTAGACTATTGCTAAAGTCCTTGCCAATTTTCAGCATAATACATTTGTTGTTGGTGGCCTTGCTAGGGCCTCCATTCTGGCTCAGCTAATAACCATTCTCTGATTTTATAAAGTAATCACTTTTCCAGCTCAGATCTCCCTAAAATATTCAATCTCAAAGTCTACCCAGCTCCAAACACCCATATAGCTCCTTTTCCAATTTCCATTCTCACAGAGAGCATAGAACCTTGCAGACAGTTCTAAAGCCAAACTTCCTGCTGTTAACTAGGTTAAGAGTATTCCACTCATGGGGCTGGCAGGTGGCATGGTGGTTGAAATCACTGGATTCCCATGTGGCCAACTGCAGGTCGAGTGCAGTTCGAGTCCCGGACCTGGTGGCTTGCTTTCTCGCTTTCCCTTTCTCTCTTTCTCTGGTCAAATAAAAAAATAATAATGATACTAAATGGAATTAAATAAATTTTTTTAAAAAAGCATATTCCACCCTTGCAGGCAACAACATACCAAAACCAAATTTTTAAATCTGTTTATTTTGTTCCAAACCCCTTGAGGATTTAAAGGTCCCAGGTTTCAAGCTCCGAAATTTTGTTCATTTCTAGATTTAACTGTGGTGCCTAAGAGGCTACATTCTACTCTAAATATTAATACTGTGCTGCTTTTGCCAACCCACATTCTCTCCAAAGGCACACAAGCCCACACATGCACATGTGTGGAAGAAATAAATTGACATCTTGCCATGTTATGTGACACCGGAATGAGTAGATTTGGAACCTGTGACTGTCTTTCTTTCATCTGGAGAGAAGTGGGTGGCAGCTTCATTCTTAGAGCTATTCCCCCTATAAGCAACAAAGAAGGCCCTGAAGAACCATCTTCCACTGACTCAGTGGAGATGGGGCAGGGAGGAGTGGAAGTAGGGTCATTGTTGCTCCAGTTTTTTCAGTAGTTTCTCCTGGAAATTACCAGGCTGATGGGCACCAGCTTCTCTGTTCCACTACTGTTTGAGCTGACAGAATAGTAATGGGGCCCCTTTCTACTCACCAAGCCAAGAACCAGTGGATTTTCCTTTAGGGAGTTGGTAAGAGCTGGACTGGGACCAGTGGAGGGGGCTCAGGACTTTGGCCTTGAATGAAACCATCAAAGGCCAACCGTGCCCCAGCTGCCTGTTTGTAACGGAAAAACTCATAGGTGGGGACCATTGTCTTCTTTGGAGCCCCTCAGGGCAACCTCATCCTCCTGGCCTTGGGATGACCCTGACTTGGGGGTGGCAAGTACTGTTGGCTCCAGGTGACAGCTAGGGATACCTGGCAAAAAGATGACAAAAGGGTGGGTGACAAGAACACAATAGACAAAGGCCCAGAGAGAGAAAAAAGAGACACAAAGAGGCAGAGTGAGGAGAGAGGCTGAGTTCCTAATGAGGTGAGCTGTGCTAGCTGGACACAGCCTGGCAGTGTTCTCTGCCATTGCGAATGCTCTTCAGTAAGATTGTTGCCCAGAGCCTTGGCATAGGGAAGTATCTGGCACTGACTTCCCAGGGATGAGAGTGGTCCAGAATCTACCTTTCCTGGCACCTTTAATGCCCACTAAACAGAGTGACCCAGGATGCCCAGCATGGAGAACAAGTTGGGTTGTAAAGGTTAGGATGGCTTCCCCTTCCTAAAAGAAATTGTCCAACCCTACGTGTAGCAGCTGCCTGTACCTTTGGGGTGGGGGTGGGGTTTAGGTTGGAATTTTTTTTGTTTTGTTTTGTTAACAGTCCATTTCCTGGCATGACCCAGGTGAAAATATTTTCCTGTCATGAGAACTGAGAGATGGAAGAGTTGGTCCTTCACCATGTTAATAACCACTACTCCTCCTCCCACCATGCCAGCTTCCTGTCATCAGTCCTTTGCCTGCTGAGATGAAAAGAATTTCTTCACATTTTGACAGACAGAAACAGAATGGGGAGTTAGGAGGGCCTCAAGGTTAATGCACTGGCCTGGGTGATCTGTAAAAATCAGTGAGTAGAATATGGAACCCTATGGTGTTTAAGGTACCTTCCTTATATGATATTCTACTCTTCCAGTCTATGATTGTATCAGCATGAGCCAAGAAGTGAGATGTGGCTCAGCCTGTGATGAATAGGACTGATGCTAGTGTTAGGGGTAGATTGAGTTGATGGCCTAAGATCCGGGTCCCTCCTTTCTCCAAGCACCCATGTGTCTATGATAGTCATAAAAATAATTAGATGGGGAGAAGATAGAGGGGACACAGTAGCAAGAAAAAGAAAGATGGGAAGAAGAAAGCAGACATAACCAACCATATGATAGGGATACTGCCTATATACAGCTCTTGGGAAGCCACAGTCCTCAGAAACTCTGAGACTCAAAAGGCTTCTTGTCTCATTTTACCTTCTTATCACCCCCCACACACAAGATGAATTGCAATGAACATCTCAGCAAACAGAGGCTTGGGTCTCCCCCACTGGACTCCAGGGGACTCAGTAGCACCTTTGGCAGTTGATTTTAGTGGGTGAATAAGAAGCTGGAGCCAGGAAGTCCCGTCTCCCTCCTCCTATAGGGATTAGAAAGTATATAGAGAGGCCAGGGAGATGATCCCAAGCTTTCCCAGGCCCTAGAAGGAGAAGAGTCCTGGCAAGTTTAAAGGCATTCATGGGGAAAATTTGGTTAATGAGTTTGGAACACCTGGAGCTTTGGCTCCATGGGGGATGTCAGGTGGCTTGAAATGTTATGTGCATAGGTTTGGGAACAAGTGTGCTGGTGGCAAAAATGTAAATGCTGAGCAGGGTGGGATGAAGGGGAAAGGCTGGGGAGGAGCACACAATGGCAAGAAAGAGGCATTAGATTGGTTCCTCAGGGGTGGGTGACCCAGGAAGCAGCTCTCCATTGGGGTCTGGGTCAGGGGCCAACATTTTATCCTTGCTCGAATCCCTCTGCTCTTTCTTGAACATCCTTTGATGCATCAAAGGGACGAAGAAAAGGATTACAGCCCCAATGATAGGGGGCACACCGGCAAAGTAGAAGGCCACATGGTAGTCCCCAAAACAGTTGCGGAGGAGGCCTGAAAAGGTCAAGAAAGACAAGTCAAGCTCAGATTTGCTCTACCGCCCAAAGTTGTTCTCTGCCTCTTCTAGGTGCCATTGCAGTGCCTTTGCAGAGAACTCAGCCTGTACTGCCTTGACTCAGGAGCTCCTGCAACTTTCAGGGCAGGCAATGCCTACCTAAGGAACTACAGTTGCAGGCCCCTGAAGTGAATGATCATTATGAACGAAGAAAATGTAGCTTCTTTTATGTTTCTCCACTGTGACTGTCATTAAGCTATAGCTAACTTTCAGTCATTCCTAGATATGGAATTAGAAGGAAATCTAGTTTAAAAGATCTCCACAGAAAATAGCTAACCCTTGTCTTGGCTTATGGTGATATTTTTCATCCCACTCTCCCCACAAATTGTTCTTGCAGAACAATTCAACTGAGTTCCTATTTGTCTTTTCTTTGAAGAGCCCTCTCTGTGAAGTTCCATTTGCCTTAGGAGGAGACTATATGCATGCATGTATTTTTCTTCAAGGTACAGATATGATTGGCCCCTCTGGGTTCCTCCAAGCTACAATAGCATGGATAGTTTCTAAAAGCTCATGGGAGGATGAGCCCAGAAACAGCATCCAGGAAAGGCAAAAAGGCCCTTGGCTCTTTGCTTACTCAGGAGATAAGTAATATGAAAAGAGATGTGGATTCTGATACACTGTTGGGATAAGGGGCTTGTAAGACACCCCCCCACCATCCCACCATTCCCCAGTAGGCAGTATGTCTATTGCAGAAAAGCCTGAACAAAAACTTTTATCACTGTCACACAGTGCTCTCACAATATTTGCATGTAATTAGTGTTCGAAGAATTTTTGTTGAATTAGCCAATTTGACCAGCCTAGGATAGGCTAACCTATGAATTAATATTCTTAATAAATTCTATAGGAAGGAAATAACTTCTCTTTTCATTGGTTTTCCTGTTTCCTATGTTTTCTAGGGTAGCAACAATGCCCTTTCTGGGAGAGTGGTGGGAAAAACTAGAGCACTGAAAGATGGCAAGCCAACACTTTACCTGTTAGAAGTGAGCCCAACTCAGTCCTTGGGTGTTACCTTAGTCAATTCTCTTCTACAGGCTCAATCCAGAAGCCAGTAGACAAGAAGGAAGTGTCTCTAAGTTTTAATAAAACTAAGGCCCACTTTCTCTTCTCTTTCCGCCCAACTACTTTACAATCACTTGCCTTGGAGTAAGAGGATACTACGTCAATAGAAGAGTCAAGAATGTCAAACCCATTTTTCTCTCTACCCTCCTGGAAGGTGCCATGCTATTATAAAACCCCATTAAAACAGATATATAGCCATGTAAAACCCTTTCCCCAGCTGAATGAATTAATCCATGCATGTGTACTGTGTTTAGTCTTATATACCAATAGTGGTTAAGGGTTTCATGCACTCTGACAAAGCTACTTAAACAAAGAATAAGAGGAAAAATAACCTCAAACAGTGGTGCTCAGGAGAGCTAGAGCCCAGGGAAAACAGGATTTTTCTCACTAATGTCTGCCCTGGAATATCAGCCTTACCTGCAATGGGGGGCCCGGCAATCATTGGCAGTGCCATCATGCCCAGGAGGTAGCCAATAGCCTGTGAGGCCTGCATTGGGCCCACCAGCTCAAATGCGATGGGGGCCATGATGGTGATGAAGAAGCCATCGCACAGGCCCAGAAAGAGGCAGACAACAATGAGGCCCCCGAAGTCCCGGCACAAGGGAATCATCATGGACATCAGGCCCAGGAGCAGGAAGGAAAGGACCTAGAGGAACAATGGCCTGTGGTCATGTTGTGCTGGCTAGTCAAAAACACATAGCAAATCACATCTCTTTTCTCAGGTCTTCATTTTTCCCGAGTAAAAAATGGGGTAGAGAGGGGATGTCAACAGGGAAAGCAATTGGACTTAATAGTTACTCAGGCCCCTTCGAAGTCCTGTACTGAAAGATTCAGTCATTTTTTTTCCCTATAGGGCACATACACATGCTGGATAGAGACAGAAAGAGAGAAAATACCTTCAGAAAAGGGAGTTGTCTCCATGCCACAATCCCTTTTCCTCCATTCTCTTCTCAGGATTTTTGGCATTCACACCTGTGTTTTTCAAGCTGCCAGGTCTAGGACTTGAACCACATAGTCGGCCATATGGGATCTAGCTGCCTTAACCACCATACCACCAAGCTGGCCCAAGACTAAGTCTTTAAGACAGCCCCTACTTGGGGCAAGCAGGTGGCGAGGTGGTTAAGGTGCTAGACTCCCACATGGCCGATCATGGTTAGAGTCTCAAACCCAGTGGCTTGAAACTCATACCAGGCACATATGCATGTGTGCCCAAAATCCTAAGAAGGGATGGAATTGTGGTGTCTTTCCCTCTATCTCTTTCTATCTCTCTCCAGTGAACACATGTGTTATTTTAGAATTATCCATTTAATTTTATTTATCATTTTTTTTGAAAAAATTAGACTAACACACACACACAGACACACACACACACAGAGGGAAAGTGAGAAAGTAAGCCACCAGGTCCAGGACTCGAACTGTGGTCAGCCATGTGGGAGTCCAGTGCCTTAACCATCATGCCACCTGCTGGCCCCTGGAAAAAAAGTCTAAAAAAAAAAATACAGCTTCTATTTAACTGTGATTCTGTCAAAATTATAAAAAAGAGGGGGAGAGGACTTGGTCCTTGGCCTCAAGAAGAAGTTTTTCTTTGCACTGGACCCTAAGATAAAGGGAATTGCTGTTTTTACTTTCTGATCCTTTGTTCGGCTGGTCCAGGGAATCAAGATCCGGGTTAAAGCTATGTTGCTGTTCTTAGATCCAAGTAAGGTATGAGGAGAGGAAGAAAGAATTGTCTGCATGAGGATTAGATACAGGCTAGAATGGAATAACTTTCCCAAATGTAGAAGTAGCTAGTGCTCATTTTGGGGGGAGGGACCTTATTTTTCCATTATTTTCATTTTTTAATTGCCAGAGAGTGTATGCACTCACCAGAGAGAGACAGAGAGGGAGAGGGAGGAAAAGGAGAAAGCACCTCCCATACCATATGGTCATGCCACAATTCTCTTTCCATTTCTCCATCCTGTTGGGATTTGGGGCATGCATGTACATGTACCCAATGTGTTTTTCAAGCTGCCAGGTCTGGGACTCCAACCACATGGTCAGCCATATGGGATCTGTTTCCCTTAACCACTAGGTCATGAACTGTCCCTGTATGGGACTGATTTTAGAAAACATGATTAGGAGGTTCACCCCAGTTCCTTGTGCTTTAGGACATGGGTGCTACTATCCATCTCAGTATGGCTTTGGAGGCCACTTGGGCTTGCCTGGGCACCCCGAGAAGGCAACAAAGGGGACTTTCAGCTGAACCAAGCCATATTCAATGCTGTTTGACACCTTAAAGATTTTCTGTGTTGTTGCTGGCAGTGGGTTTGTTAGGTTGATTGGTTGAGTTTCAGAGAGGATAGTGCCATCTGCAGATATCTCTTTGTTGAGAGACCTTTGAACTTTGCCTATACTATTTTGAGGTAGCTAGGCAGAAGCTAGGAATAAGAACCACATACCCAAGCTTCTCTTCTAGGAGATTCACATATAACTGTGAGATAAAACCAGACTTATCTATCAACTAAGTCCATTGTGGAAATTAAGAGTTAATATTAGAGAAAGATAGAGAGGGAGAGGAGAAATATATAACTTCTCATTATATAACACAAAGGACCCCATTAACCTATTTTAATCAGCTCTAATTACTTCCTATTGTATTTAGCTGCCTCTTAACATCCTCCATGAGTCTTTGTCAAGATTCAGAAATTAAAAATTGCTCATGGAACTGAGAATCAGTCCTCACAAATTGGCTCCAAATGAGTTTCTCTTGCAGGTTGTCACTGTTTCTTTTCCAACAGACTGTCCAGGAGCTTAATGACAGATACATGTGTCTGTCCTCATCAACAGTAGGAACCATCAGGTCTGGAGGATGGCTGTTTAGAATCTGAAGCTATGTACATTCCTTTTCTCTTCCAGGCCTGTCGTGCATCTGACCCAGGGAGAAAAGAAGGCAAATTCCTATGATGGAGTATCTTGAGAAACTCAAGAGAAAGGAGAAGTTCATCCATTGTCTTGGGCCTGAGGCACTCAATTTATAAAATGAAGAAGCTGGACTACAAGTTGAGGGAGATATGTTTTGGATGTAATGTTCCAAGACTATGTTATGTGATTCCAAGTGGTAAAATTGGGTTAAGTAACAGAAAAGAAAAGGGGCAGGAGTGGTGGTAGTGGTAGAGGGGGTAATCAGCAGAAGCACTGGGTCCTAAGCTTCTAACCAGCTAATACCTCCTCCTCTCTTGGAACTTCCCCTTAACAGCAGAAGGCAAAAACTGCTCAGACCCTTCCTGTCTCCTAGAGACTGTGGTGAGACTTACTGTAGCTCTATGGGTAGGCAGGGGCTTCTGCCTCTCTTCAGGATAAAGTCTTTGCCCAATTCCAGAATACCCTGATTTCCAGAACCCTTTAGCATCTTGGAACTGCTAATAATGGCAGGGAAGACCTACAGGGATGTAGAAGAGGTGGGGAAAGTCACGCATATGTCTATGCAAAAAGTCACCCAGATAAAGCACTTAATGATGCTTGAACAGGAATTTAAAATTTTGTAATTGGTTTATCTCAACTATAGGCTCTTGGTTTGACCTTAGTCAAGTGACTTATCAACTCAGACTGGGCTCTACCATTCATCACTTAGGGTAAGGTGGGATAGGAGAAAAGTGCTGCATAGGAGTTCAGCTCTGCTTCTACTGTCTGTGTGAGCCTTTCTTAGTTTCTCCATCAGTGTAGTGATAGATTAGACTGACTGGACCATAAGGGCATCCCTAGTTCTGACAAAGCAGATTCACCAGCTCCTGCAAACTAATAGAAAGTTAAACACAACAGGAAAATCATATCCTTGTTCAAGGATACTTAGGAAAGTACTCAGGGTTGTCAGAGACAGCACCTTAACCACATGGCAAACCACGGTTTCAAGTCCCAGACCTAGTGGCTTGCTTTCTCACTCTCCCTTTTTCTCTGTCACTCTCTGGTCAAAATTGAGAATAATAATAAACTAAATTAAAAATAAATAAATCTTTTACAAATTCCTTTTAAAGTTTTTTTTTTTTTTTTTCCCTAGAGGGCATGTGCACTCACTAGGGACAGAGTAAGAGAGAGGCTGAGGAGAAAGCACTCCCCATGGGGAATGGTCACACTTTGATCCTTCTTCTCTATCTCCTTCTTTTAGGATTTTGGGCACATATGCACATACATCCAGTTTGTTTCTCAAGCTTCCATTTGAACTACACAGTCAGCCATGTAAAATCCAGCTGCCTTGACAACCGGACCAACAAAGCTGGCTCAACTTTAAAAGTATTTTAAGAGATTCCATATATGAGGGTACTTCAAATGTTCATGCAAATTTAATATTATGAAAAAAAAAAGTTGTATGGATCCATTTTTTTCTGCACCAAAATAAACTCATACTTCAATTCCATTTTTTCCACGAGCTTTTTGAAGCCTCTGTGTATGTACTCTGCTCTCACTGGACTCTCACTGCACTTTGGTCAAGGAGGCAGAAAAAGAAATGGGGAAACTGAGGTTCTGAGAATTTGATTGGCTTTCCTACATTGCACAACATGGTGGTGTTAGAGTCTAGGGCACTGCAGTGGGACACTGATTCTGTCCCACAGGCTAAGGATAACCTAGTATCTGTGGCAGACTATTCCTCCCAACAGTGGACAGAGGTCACACTCACCTGCAAATAGATCTTCTTAAGTCCAGGAATTGAGTCACTGATGTGGCCTGATACAAGACGCCCAAGGCCTGAGGTAGCTCCAATACACACCAAGAGTACCCAGGTCTCCTTGATTTCCAAGAACTCTTCTTCCACATACTTCATCTGAAAAGCATAGTACCAAGGCTCCCAGAATTCAGGAGGAAGGAAAGGCTGACTGATTAACTGTTAGCATATACAGAACTCTCACTTTTCTGGCCCAGAACAAACCCCCTATCCTGCAGCTCTAGCTCCAGGACAAGTTCTCTGACTGCATCAAACAACCTAAAAGACTGCTTATTACTTGGTGGTCTGGATTCTGGGTTTCTGAGGAATGGCTAAGAAGGGTGGCTATTTTCAAGCCCCTTCTAAGCCCTGGCAGGACAGAATACAGTCTTAATAATTGAGAAAATTCCAAGGTTCCTCCCCAATCTTCCCATTCCTGTCACAGAACAGCCTCAGACAAACATCAGGTCACTAGAGGAGAAGGATCCACCAGTTTCCAGGTAACTCTTCCAAAGTATGTTTTAAGAAACATAAGGTCTATGGAGAATAGCAACTGGACTACAACCAACAGTTCTGTTGCCATAAATGTTTGGTGGATACTGGGATAAACAAAGCTCAGTGGGTTTCTTTTTTCTTTTCTTTCTTTCTTTCTTTCTTTCTTTTTTTTTTTTTTTTGAGAGAGATTTTTGCTAAAGGGCATGTGTACTTGCTAAAGAGAGACAGAGAGATAGAAAGTGAGAAATCATCCTCCAGGGGGATGGCTATGTTGTAATCCCTTCTCCATTCTTCTTTTGGGATTTTGGGCACACATGCACATGCACCCAGCTTGAGTTTCTCGCCCTCAGGTCTAGAACTCAAACCATAGTTGGCAATGAAGGAGTCCAGCTGCATAACCATTACACTATCTGCCATTTGCTGGTCCCAAGCTCAGTGAGTTTCTTTCGTTCTTTTTAATTTTTGGAGTGAGATTTTTGCTATAGGGCACGTGTGCACTCATCAGAAAGACAGAGACATAGAAAATGAGAAATCATTCCCCAGGGTGTGACCATGCCACGATGCCATCCCTATTATCTTCTTGGGATTTTGGGCATGCACGCACATGCACCTGGTGTTTTGGGGTTTTTTTTTTTTGTTTGTTTGTTTGTTTGTTTGTTTGTTTGGAGAGGTTTTTGCTATAGGGC